GGTGATACAATGTGTCCCGAGTCCGGCGATAACAATGTGTCCCGAGTCCGGTGATACAATGTGTCCCGAGTCCGGCGATAACAATGTGTCCCGAGTCCGGTGATACAATGTGTCCCGAGTCCGGCGATAACAATGTGTCCCGAGTCCGGTGATACAATGTGTCCCGAGTCCGGCGATAACAATGTGTCCCGAGTCCGGTGATACAATGTGTCCCGAGTCCGGCGATAACAATGTGTCCCGAGTCCGGTGATACAATGTGTCCCGAGTCCGGCGATAACAATGTGTCCCGAGTCCGGTGATACAATGTGTCCCGAGTCCGGCGATAACAATGTGTCCCGAGTCCGGTGATACAATGTGTCCCGAGTCCGGCGATAACAATGTGTCCCGAGTCCGGTGATACAATGTGTCCCGAGTCCGGCGATAACAATGTGTCCCGAGTCCGGTGATACAATGTGTCCCGAGTCCGGCGATAACAATGTGTCCCGAGTCCGGTGATACAATGTGTCCCGAGTCCGGCGATAACAATGTGTCCCGAGTCCGGTGATACAATGTGTCCCGAGTCCGGCGATAACAATGTGTCCCGAGTCCGGTGATACAATGTGTCCCGAGTCCGGCGATAACAATGTGTCCCGAGTCCGGTGATACAATGTGTCCCGAGTCCGGCGATAACAATGTGTCCCGAGTCCGGTGATACAATGTGTCCCGAGTCCGGCGATAACAATGTGTCCCGAGTCCGGTGATACAATGTGTCCCGAGTCCGGCGATAACAATGTGTCCCGAGTCCGGTGATACAATGTGTCCCGAGTCCGGCGATAACAATGTGTCCCGAGTCCGGTGATACAATGTGTCCCGAGTCCGGCGATAACAATGTGTCCCGAGTCCGGTGATACAATGTGTCCCGAGTCCGGCGATAACAATGTGTCCCGAGTCCGGTGATACAATGTGTCCCGAGTCCGGCGATAACAATGTGTCCCGAGTCCGGTGATACAATGTGTCCCGAGTCCGGCGATAACAATGTGTCCCGAGTCCGGTGATACAATGTGTCCCGAGTCCGGCGATAACAATGTGTCCCGAGTCCGGTGATACAATGTGTCCCGAGTCCGGCGATAACAATGTGTCCCGAGTCCGGTGATACAATGTGTCCCGAGTCCGGCGATAACAATGTGTCCCGAGTCCGGTGATACAATGTGTCCCGAGTCCGGCGATAACAATGTGTCCCGAGTCCGGTGATACAATGTGTCCCGAGTCCGGCGATAACAATGTGTCCCGAGTCCGGTGATACAATGTGTCCCGAGTCCGGCGATAACAATGTGTCCCGAGTCCGGTGATACAATGTGTCCCGAGTCCGGCGATAACAATGTGTCCCGAGTCCGGTGATACAATGTGTCCCGAGTCCGGCGATAACAATGTGTCCCGAGTCCGGTGATACAATGTGTCCCGAGTCCGGCGATAACAATGTGTCCCGAGTCCGGTGATACAATGTGTCCCGAGTCCGGCGATAACAATGTGTCCCGAGTCCGGTGATACAATGTGTCCCGAGTCCGGCGATAACAATGTGTCCCGAGTCCGGTGATACAATGTGTCCCGAGTCCGGCGATAACAATGTGTCCCGAGTCCGGTGATACAATGTGTCCCGAGTCCGGCGATAACAATGTGTCCCGAGTCCGGTGATACAATGTGTCCCGAGTCCGGCGATAACAATGTGTCCCGAGTCCGGTGATACAATGTGTCCCGAGTCCGGCGATAACAATGTGTCCCGAGTCCGGTGATACAATGTGTCCCGAGTCCGGCGATAACAATGTGTCCCGAGTCCGGTGATACAATGTGTCCCGAGTCCGGCGATAACAATGTGTCCCGAGTCCGGTGATACAATGTGTCCCGAGTCCGGCGATAACAATGTGTCCCGAGTCCGGTGATACAATGTGTCCCGAGTCCGGCGATAACAATGTGTCCCGAGTCCGGTGATACAATGTGTCCCGAGTCCGGCGATAACAATGTGTCCCGAGTCCGGTGATACAATGTGTCCCGAGTCCGGCGATAACAATGTGTCCCGAGTCCGGTGATACAATGTGTCCCGAGTCCGGCGATAACAATGTGTCCCGAGTCCGGTGATACAATGTGTCCCGAGTCCGGCGATAACAATGTGTCCCGAGTCCGGTGATACAATGTGTCCCGAGTCCGGCGATAACAATGTGTCCCGAGTCCGGTGATACAATGTGTCCCGAGTCCGGCGATAACAATGTGTCCCGAGTCCGGTGATACAATGTGTCCCGAGTCCGGCGATAACAATGTGTCCCGAGTCCGGTGATACAATGTGTCCCGAGTCCGGCGATAACAATGTGTCCCGAGTCCGGTGATACAATGTGTCCCGAGTCCGGCGATAACAATGTGTCCCGAGTCCGGTGATACAATGTGTCCCGAGTCCGGCGATAACAATGTGTCCCGAGTCCGGTGATACAATGTGTCCCGAGTCCGGCGATAACAATGTGTCCCGAGTCCGGTGATACAATGTGTCCCGAGTCCGGCGATAACAATGTGTCCCGAGTCCGGTGATACAATGTGTCCCGAGTCCGGCGATAACAATGTGTCCCGAGTCCGGTGATACAATGTGTCCCGAGTCCGGCGATAACAATGTGTCCCGAGTCCGGTGATACAATGTGTCCCGAGTCCGGCGATAACAATGTGTCCCGAGTCCGGTGATACAATGTGTCCCGAGTCCGGCGATAACAATGTGTCCCGAGTCCGGTGATACAATGTGTCCCGAGTCCGGCGATAACAATGTGTCCCGAGTCCGGTGATACAATGTGTCCCGAGTCCGGCGATAACAATGTGTCCCGAGTCCGGTGATACAATGTGTCCCGAGTCCGGCGATAACAATGTGTTCCGAGTCCGGCGATACAATGTGTCCCGAGTCCGGCGATAACAATGTGTCCCGAGTCCGCCGATACGATGTGTCCGGCGATAACAATGTGTCCCGAGTCCGCCGATACGATGTGTCCGGCGATAACAATGTGTTCCGAGTCCGCCGATACAATGTCTCCCGAGTCCGGCGATACAATGTGTGCCGAGTCCGGCGATACAATGTGTCCCGAGTCCGGCGATACAATGTGTGCCGAGTCCGGCGATACAATGTGTCCCGAGTCCGGCGATACAATGTGTGCCGAGTCCGGCGATTACAATGCTGCATGGCATTTCTCCTTACGGTGACAGCAGTTGACCACGCCTGCATAATATGTGATGAAGCAGCCACTTGTGGTCTCCATCGAAAGCCTGTGTGACAACACAAGCATACAATTGGGAGGCCAGGACAGGTTGTTGTCACCCTATAACCGGAAGTACCTGAAAAAGGACCTTCGTGGCAGGATCACCAAGGAATATTGATGATCACATACGATGTGATTTATAATAGAACATGAACTATATACAGGGGTGTGGGAGACACCCGGAGCGGTAACCGAGTGTCACCCCGCCGGGACGTCACTGCGCATGCGCGGCAGTATTCTGATACCTGCCGGCGGCCATCTTGGTGATGGACGCCGGCAGAGAGAGGAGGGGACAGTCACCCGGCGGGATAAGGTATGCCGCCGGGTCCTTGATACGGTCGGACGTTCGGTCCATGACCGAGCGCCCGACTTTGCAGAGGGGGGGTGACACCAAAATGACTGTGAGTCATTTTGGTGTCACCCCTCCAATGGTGGCACCCGGGTGCGGGCCGCACCCCCCTTGTGACGCCACTGACTATATATATATACACAAATGTCCTCTGTGTGCGTTTTCCGGCACTTTCTATGACGGCCATAAATTGGGGATTTCTCTGGAAGCTCATCGGTCCGCAGGCGTCGCATTCCACGGGGTGACCGCGATAATCCAGCCGGGTCTGAACTCATCACGCAGCATGACCCACCCCCGCGCCTATCCGTACGCACGACGCCTTCGCCACGCACAACAGTTCCGCTCGTTATCCCCCGTCGCACCTTCTTGGCATTTTGAAGCGGCAGTCGCGGAAAATGAAGGAATGATATTTTAAGCACAAAAACGCCTAAATTTTGCATCTGTAACACTCAATTAAAATAACTTTGGCGTATTCTGGCACGCGGGCTAATCCCTTCATTACACACATATTACCCGTCCTGCCTAAATATATTAAATGTTATGACTTTCACAAAGCGACTTACACTTATAAATGTGACAGCAATCCGAGCCGGCCGTGGAAACCGCGTCCAGCGGCGCAGCTGCGAGGCGCAGCGAGCGGATACAACTTCTCTGTTTATGTTCTATTATTTGTAATGAATTTCCTAAATACTCGGGGACAGGAAATTGTATTAGACAAGGCGGAGGAGGGGAGGCGAATGGATCGGGAGTCGCCGGCCAGCAGCGCCTGATGGGGGACACGTGACGCGTGCAGCCGATCTCCATGTGTCACCTAAAGGGTCACTCCGCACTGAAGGAATAGCGCCGTCTCTGGTGGGTGCCGGACAGTTACAGGGAGACAAGTCGGGATGTCTACTCACTTCCTGTCGTGTCTCTGGGAAAGGTCAGATAGAAGACTGGAGGGGAGGACGGAGGTCAGATAGAAGACTGAAGGGGGGGGACGGAGGTCAGATAGAAGACTGAAGGGAAGGACGGAGGTCAGATAGAAGACTGAAGGGGAGGACGGAGGTCAGATAGAAGACTGAAGGGGAGGTCGGAGGTCAGATAGAAGACTGAAGGGGAGGACGGAGGTCAGATTTATATTCCCTGATGTTTACTTATGTCTCCTGGAGATTTAATGTGGAAGTTCCTGAGTCCTGATATTGGGGGGAGGAGGTCAGAGGTCAGAGATGGGATCAGTACACGTTTTGTGTCCCCCCCCCCGGTCGTGATTGCGCTACAATATATAACAGGAGGCACATTACATTTCATACATATCGTGTACAGCGCCCCCCGGTGGTCCCACACCTGCACTGTACTATATCAGAGGGGCACTCGTTCATTACATTCCGGTCTCGGGAGTCACTTACCCAGGATTTTGCTGATGTTGGAGTTGTGCATGTCGGGAAAGGCTTGCAGGATTTTCCTCCGCTCGTCTTTCGCCCAAACCATGAAAGCGTTCATTGGTCGCTTGATGTGCGGCTCATTGGTACTCCTCCCCCGAGAATCTCTGTACACTCGCGCCTCCACCACCGTGGTGCCCCCTGCTGGGAAGAAAGGAAACCCTGTAGTTAACGGAACAAAATTAACACCAAACACCGGCCTGTATCCCCCCGTAGCTAGGGACATACAAGTCAGGGGCTCCCAGAGCATGCTGGGAGTTGTGGTTCCTCATCCTACACTCGCAGTCTGCCCCCCACGCCCACCCAGATACAATCCGTCTTTGTTTCATTCCATTTAGTGCTCCGGCTACGTCTGAACTCCCTGCGCTGTAAATCCCCCATTGACTCAGCGGAAGAAAGCGGTCTTCATTGCAGTGCATCAATTTTATTTGAAGTGCGTTCACCGCGACAGATATATCGGCGGCGCGATCTGACAGATGTATTTGTTGTGCAGTGAGACAGAGCGCCGTTGGCTATTCGCGCCATCCATCAAAGCCGCGTCTTACTCTGCCTGCCGGGACTCACGACGTATATAAGCGACCACCACTGGGCTCATCCCAGTCCCCCTCCCCCAACAGACACAGAAAACTCTGATGAAGATACTAAATGTCACAGCAAGAAAGATGAACCAAAAGCATCCGCAGGAGGACCTGCTGTGCCCATTATGAGGAGCTCCCACCATCCCTGTGCTGAGTTCCCGGGTCTGTACACCCGCTGTGCCCATTATGAGGGGCTCCCACCATCCCTGTGCTGAGTTCCCGGGTCTATACACCCGCTGTGCCCATTATGAGGGGCTCCCCCCATCACTGTGCTGAGTTCCGGGGTCTGTACACCCGCTGTGCCCATTATGAGGAGCCCCCACCATCCCTGTGCTGAGTTCCCGGGTCTATACACCCGCTGTGCCCATTATGAGGAGCTCCCCCCATCACTGTGCTGAGTTCCGGGGTCTGTACACCCGCTGTGCCCATTATGAGGAGCCCCCACCATCCCTGTGCTGAGTTCCCGGGTCTGTACACCCGCTGTGCCCATTATGAGGGGCCCCCACCATCCCTGTGCTGAGTTCCCGGGTCTGTACACCCGCTGTGCCCATTATGAGGGGCCCCCACCATCCCTGTGCTGAGTTCCCGGGTCTGTACACCCGCTGTGCCCATTATGAGGAGCTCCCACCATCCCTGTGCTGAGTTCCCGGGTCTGTACCCCCGCTGTGCCCATTATGAGGGGCCCCCACCATCCCTGTGCTTAGTTCCCGGGTCTGTACAATCGCTGTGCCCATTATGAGGGGCCCCCACCATCCCTGTAGAGGTCTTCAGATGTTACATACAAGTCGGCCAAGTTGAATGAAGACGTGTATATATTTTATATTATAGAAAAGTCTGCAATTAGTTGTCTTTATATCTCTGAAGTATAATAAAGCTCCGACGTGTAATGAAACGCATGTGTCAGTGTGTCCATTATGTGCATGACAACATGCAGACTGCGGCAACACTGAACTGCACTCCAGAAAGTCCCCACAACATGCGGACAGCCTGTCATTGCGTCTGTCTCTTTGGCTGGAAGCAGCTGACATCATGCAGCCGGCTGAGGAGGCGGGGCTGAGGAGGCGGGGGCCGGCGGAGGAGGCGGGGGGCCGGCTGAGGAGGCGGGCCTCTACAGGCCCTCCCAGGAAGGGCTGCATGTGATGCTGAAACCACAGACCCCCCCCATACAGTGAAATGTTTCTTATGAGCTTTCTATGACCCGACTTCCCATCTCCATGATTTAGATGCAACCTGCAGATATTCCGCCGCTGCTCCCCAAGTTACACGGTAAACGTTATGGGGGGGTTCCGGGCAGTGGCGTCACAAGGTGGGTGCGGCCCGCACCCGGGTGACACCACTGGAGGGGTGACACTAAAATGACTGACAGTCTTTTTGGTATCAACCCCCCTCTGAAAAGTCGGGCGCTCGGTCATGGACCGAGAGAGAGGAGGGGACCCGGCGGCATAACTTATCCCGCCGGGTGACTGTGTCCCCTCCTCCCTCTGCCGGCGTCCATCGCCAAGATGGCCGCCGGCAGGTATCAGAAGACGTCTGACCCAACCTCGGGACGCCCCTGCTTTCCGGGGGACCGTCGGCAGTTTATCAATTCTAACATGACGACCGCAGAACGCAGAGATCATCATCGGAGATTTCTCGTGCTCTATCGCAGCCGGTCCGATGGAGGCAGCGGCGTCCCAGCGTTTTTTCGCACGGCCACAGCTGCGCTCTCTGCCATATGTCAATGAACAAAGGAAGCCTATC